TACCCCCACAGACTCGTTTCGGGTGACCTTTTCTGGATCTGCCCTTCCTCAATACATCGAGCTGGGAAAACTTCGTCTTCCTATGCGGTTGTTTGTACCTCGGGTCATGAACTGCCAGAATTGTAAGCGGTTGGGACATACGGCCTCCCACTGCGGCAACAAGGCACGCTGCTCCACATGCGGGAAGAATCATGAGGATGGCGCCTACGCAGCTACTGCACCAAAATGCGTGTACTGCAACGGAACTCCTCCTCATGCTCTCTCGTCGTGCCCGGCGTACAAACAGCTCGGGGACAAAATGAAACGCTCCCTTAAGAAACGTTCCAGGCGGTCTTTTGCAGAAATGCTTAAGACAGCCACGCCATCGACCAATGACCACAATCCTTTTTCTCTTTTTTCAGATGACGAGACTGACTCTGACTTGGCTGAGGAGGGAACTTCTTTCCGTTTTTCTGCACGGAAACGAAAACACATCCGTTCGCGGAAAGTTGACAATCAACCCCAAATCAGCTTGCCCAAATCAAGGAGTGGTGGAAAAAATGAGACTTCTACTCCTCCTGGATCTCGCAGAACTGACTATACCCAGGATTTTCCACCTCTTCCGGGGACATCCAAAACCCCTGATGCTCCAATTTTAAGAACAGAAACCCCCTTCTTCATCTGGGTTGTTCTCATTTGATGACATTGTGGACGGTATTCTCAAATACCTCAACATTTCTGATCCTCTGAAAAGCATTGTCCTCACATTGCTTCCCACTGTGAAATCCTTCTTGAAGCAATTGACTTCAAAATGGCCCCTTCTTGCGGCTATCATCTCCTTAGATTCGTTCAAATATTTAGTCCATAACAATAATTGCGATGCATTTGCCCTCTGTGAAACATGGCTCTCTTCAGAAATTGATCTCCCTTTTTATGATTTTAACATTATTCGATTGGATCGTGAGGATTCACGTGGAGGAGGGGTACTTTTGGGAATCAAAAAGTGCCATTCCTTCTATAGAGTGAATCTTCCCGAATTCCCCGGTATTGAAGTTGTCGCTTGTCAGGCTACCATTAAAGATAAGAGCCTTTGTATTGCTTCTGTATATATTGCTCCTAGAGTCTCTGTTAATCGCAAACAACTTTTCGACATATGTGCAGTACTTCCCGCTCCATGGTTGATCATGGGAGATTTTAACTCCCACGGTACAGGCTGGGGGGAGCTGTACGATGATAACCGTTCTACTTTGATTTATGATCTCTGCGACAACTTCAACATGACAATCCTTAACAATGGAGAAGTAACACGTTTGGCTGGTCCATCCTCGAATGGTAGCAGATTAGACCTCACCTTTTGCTCCAATTCACTATCGTTGGATTGTACTTTGCATGTAATCCAGGATCCGTACGGTAGTGATCATCTGCCGATCAGTCAGAATCCGTTAACGCGACGTATGATCTAACTCGTAACATCGATTGAACTAAGTTCCAATCCGCGATAGGTGATACAGTATCGTCAGTGGAAGAGCTTCCGCCGTTGGAGGAATATAACTTCCTTTCTAATCACATCGTCGACAGCGCACTTCAAGCTCAAACATGACCGGTGCCGCGATCGTCAATTCGTAAGAAAACACCATCGCTCTGGTGGGATCAACAATGCTCGGAGGTTTACCGTAAAAAGTCCGACGCGTTTAAACTTTTTCGGAAGCGCGGAACACGCGAGCATTTCGACGCATACACATCTCTTGAACGCGAACTCAAGAGTCTCATCAAGGTCAACAAACGGGGTTACTGGCGGCAGTTTGTAAACAGATTGTCGCGCGAAATACGAAAGCGAGGAATACTCGGATCGATGGTTTCTAAAATTCACGCGAAAAGTGTGTCCGGATTCCGTGCCGTCGCAGTTGATTCCTCGCGAAACCGCGAATTCGCTAGACGAAATCAGTCAGCCTTTTTCAATGGTCGAACTTTCACTCGCTCTCCTTTCGTGTGGCAATTCTGCCCCGGGAGGATCTGATAGAATCAAGTTCAACTTGCTGAAAAACCTCCCGGACGTCGCTAAAAGGCGCATGTTGTACTTGTACAATCAGTTCTTGGAGCTCAATATTGTTCCCGACAATTGGAGACGAGTGAGGGTGATAGGCATTAAAAAGCCTGATAAACCCGTGTTGGATCACAATTCGTATCGGCCCATCGCGATGCTGTCGTGCATTCGGAAATTGATGGAGAAAATGATCCTTTTTCGCCTCGACAAATGGGTTGAGACGAACCACCTTCTTTCAAATACTTAATTTGGTTTCCGTAGGGGTAAGGGAACGAACGACTGTCTCGCGTTGCTTTTCTCGGAAATTCAGTTGGCTTTTGCAAATGGCTTCTGTGTTCTTGGATATCAAGGGGGCTTTTGATTCAGTATCCGTTGAAGTTCTTTCAGAGAAACTCCACGCTTGTGGATTGTCTCATTAATGAATATTTTTTTGTGCAATGTGCTGTCAGAAAAAACATATGAGCTTTTCTCATGGAAACTCTACAGCTTTTCGATTTAGCTACATGGATCTCCCCCAAGGCTCATGTTTAAGCCCCCTTTTGAACAATTTCTACGTAAGAGAAATTGATGACTGTCTTAGTGACAATTGCACGTTGAGACATCTTGCAGATGATGCCGTAGTATCTATCACAGGGCCAAAAGAGGTTGACCTGCAAGGACCCTTACAGGATACCTTGGACAATTTGTCTACTTGGGCTATTCAGCTAGGTATCGAATTCTCCACGGAGAAAACTGAGTTGGTCATTTTTTTTTTCTAGGAAGCATAGCCCAGCACAACCGAAGCTTCAACGTTTGGGTAAGCCGATCGCTCAAACGAATTGTTTTAAATATCTTGGGGTCTGGTTCGATTCCAAGTGCTGCTGGAGATCCCACATTGAAAATGCCAACTAAGGATCAATTTCCTTCGAACAATTACCGGAACGTGGTGGGGAGCCCATCCACAAGATCTTCTGACGTTGTACCGGACAACGATTTTATCGGTTTTAGAGTACGGTAGTTTTTGCTTCCAGTCGGCGGCTAAAACGCACATCATCAAACTGGAACGGATCCAGTATCGCTGTCTTCGTATCGCGTTAGGATGCATGCACTCGACTCATACGATGAGTCTCGAAGTGTTAGCGGGCATGTTGCCACTATCTGTCCGTTTTTCAGGGTTATCTCTGAGGCTCCTCACCCGTTGCGAAGTAATGAACCCACTGGTGATCGAAAACTTTGAAAAGCTTCTGGGGCAAAATTCTCAAACATGTTTTATGACTTTGTACTACCTACATTTAACACAGGATGCCAGCCCTTCAAGAAATATGCCCAATCGTGTAGTCTTCTCCGTTTTCGGCAATTCAGTTAATTTTGATTTATATATGACGCAGGAAATCCGTGGAATTTCAGAGCACTACTTTATTTTTACGGATAGTCTCAGTTCTGTCGAGGCTATCCGTTCCATTAGGCCGGTAAAGCGCTTAGTGCTTTATCCGTGCGCTCTTTCATCATCACCTTCGCGTGGGTCCCTTCGCATTGCTCAATTTTGGGCAATGAGAAGGCGGATTCACTTGCGAAGGTGGGCGCTATGGAAGGCGACATTTATGATCGACAAAAATCGCCTATAGTGAATTTTTCTCTATTTATCGTCAGCAGTCACTCGTTAGCTGGCAACATCCATGGAGTGAAGGGAGCTTGGGACGATGGCTACATTCAATTATCCCTAAGGTGTCGAAGTTTGCATGGTTCAAAGCGTTGGACTTCATACGCGTGATGTCTCGTCTCATGTCCAATCACTATTGTCTGAACGCTCACTTGTTCCGTGTGGGGTTGGGAGGTTACCAGGACGCTGATCACATCCTTTGATCTTGTGCGGAGTATCGTGGAGTCAGATCACATTTTTATGATTCCCTTCGGGCTCGAGGTAGACAACCTAATGTTCCAGTTCGGGATATTTTGGCTAGACGCGATCTGGAGTTTATGAAACTCATATATGTTTACTTTAGGAATATCAACCTTAGATTGTAGGTTTGATTAACCTTGTGTTTAGTTTGTATTTTGTACGCGTGGGTTTTTTTTTCAATGTTTGTTTTCAAGATGAATAGAAATAATTTCATGTTTTAGGATTAATTAAATATTTGTATCGTAAACCACATTTTCAAACCTCCTTCTTCCCTTTTCCCATCCAAAAAATTGTAAATCTCCACTAACCTCGAGACAACCGCGAGTACTCGGTCCAGTTCCTTTAACTTTAAATATAAGATAGTAATAATGTAAAACGGAAAGATAACTCGGCTCTGTAAAGTTTATTCGATTGAGCCTGTACAAATAAAGTAATTATAAAAAAAATCAAGGAAAAAAAACATTGCCAATGATAAATGATATTTCGAATTATAAGACGTCCAGGGCTTCAGCACAGGAAGCTCACTATGCCCCACCTGTTCACAATGCCCCTCCTTCTTATATTATTTGTAAAATTCCACCATTAGGTGCGTGTTGCTGCACCAACAGGACCAGTGGAATTTGTTTCTTTTCCAACAGTCATGTGTAGAAATTAAGAATCTGCCCCCATGCTTCTATTTTTTGGGTTTGACAACCAAACTTCTTTTAAATGGCTAACTTTTAGGCCATATGTTACCGGACCTGTTTTACCTAATTGCTAACGTGTTTCGATGCATAAGAAGTGAGATAGTTAGTTCAAAATCATAACCATAAAAAAAAAACCAACTTTACAAACGTTATTAGTCATGTTTTGTGTCCTAAGAGGAAATTGGTGATCGAAGGAGAACGAGCATTATAGGTGGTTACTCTACTTGATCGGTGGATAGGCAGTGAACGCCTCTACATTATGGCCGCTTTTAAAACCACGTAGGTAGTTAATCAAATTTCGGAAAAATCGCATACTCCAAACAATTAACCTCACATGGTTCATAAACGGCCTGTGGTGCTAATTCAAACCAAAAAAAAAAATCATTCCGAATCGTGGTGAATGGTGACTTACCGCCTTCATGATGCTCTTGTCCCACGCGACACACGATTCAAGCACGTACAGTGCCATCGAGAGTTGGGCGGTAGTGACCGATCGTTCGACTGCGTCGCGCCAGGACACGAGACCTGCAAACCAAAGCAATTTAGCTGTAGACAAACTTGAACATAAACAAACAGCACAGTCACCAGTCTCACCTTTCGGAATGTTTTCATCTTCCGAGCTGTTTGAGCAGGTGGATGCATTTGCCAGCGAGTGATGGTGCGACTCCTGTTGTGCAATGACGGCCATCTGTGCTTCCGTTGTGCTAGGAAAAGGAAAGTTTTCATTAGAATCAGTATCTCCTTCTCCAAACAAAGAACGGTTCGCTAGAACTGCCTTCTCACTACTTTACTCACTTGACTCCCAGTGGCGGCTTGAGATAACGCCTTTCGATAGCCGCCTCCAGTCCGGAGATCCGCTCCCGAAGAATATCGATCGTAACTTCTTCCGCGAGTTCGTTTTCGCTCTCGTTATCCCGTTGGGGCACTTGCCAACCCTTGATTTGCATCGAGGCCGATGCCACCTTATCTTCCATGGCTTCGATCTGATCTAGAAGGGCGACTTCCACCCTTCGAGCAATCGCTGGGCGCCAGGCATTCCAGGCCTCCGTTGCGGTCCAAGTGTTCTGTGGCACGGGACCTCTCAGGTGAGAAACGGGGTACGGAGTAGTCAGATTCACACTTTCCGACAACGATTCCAGCAAATTTTGCCGTAGGCTTCGCTCCCGTACACCTCGTGAATTAAGCGACCTTATCAGTTCGTTCAGCTCGTCGATATCGTTGATTTTCCACCAACCGTGACGAAAGTCTCTCGGGATAGGCCTGACTTCCGGTTTCTCCAGGAAGCCACGGATTTTGATCTCTTCCAATCGCTTCTCCTCCTCAGGGGTCATCTGCAGCGGTTGAAACTGATCGCACTGCACGTAGGCAGTCAGGTTGCTTAGCGTTAGTGTCATGTACGCAGGAAGCGAAAAGGATCCAAATTCCTCCGGTTCACCTTCCTGTTTGATTTCGGATTTAACATCCGTTTGGCTTTCGTCAGTTGATTCTCGCTTCGTGGTCACCGGTATTAGCGGTGGTTTCAAATCAGCCAACTGTTCCGGATCCTTCTTGATCCGCTTCGCGATCACATCGTTCATTTCCCCGTCGTCCAACCCGGACAGGGACAAAAAGGATTCGTTTTTGAAGTGAATCTCAACTCCCTTCTCCAGTGGGACGCTGAAGAACTGGATGTTGTTACCGATGTCCCATCGGTTGCCCTGTGCCTGGCAGATCTCCTTGCAGGTAATGTTCGTATACACTTGACGGGCCATCGCGGCCGGACTGGTTCCTTTGAGCGAAGGAAGCGGACACTCCGTGCTGCTCAGCGGAAGATCCTTATCAACGATCGAGAACCACCGTTCCATCATGCAGTCATCGTCTCTCTTGAACTCAAACTTGACCAACTTCTCGTTCTTGATTTCCCCCATTTCGACGTCGTTCCCACCAGCACAGATCTCGCCCAGTTCGCCAGCGGAGGCTCCGATTTCACCGTTCTCCAGCTTTGGCTTAATATCACAGTTGCTTCCACTTTCACCGTTGTTCGCTGTCGTCGTCATCATCGTCATCATTGAATTGTTGGTTGCCATCTGCTCGCTGCTACCGTGTCGGTTCGCGTCGCCACTTTCGGTGTCGTCATCCGGTATGGTGATGGTGGGGGTTTCCTCCTGAACCAGTTGGACCTAAGGGTGAAGAGAAGTCAAACAATAACCTCTTCTTAAAAAAAAAAAAAAACAATTACAAGTTCACAGATACTTACATCTCCATCGTCCTGCTGCCGGTTCACATTGACGCCACCGATCTGGTTGTTTACCTCGACAATCTTGGTCTCGTCGTGGTTGTTTCCTTTTTGTACTAGAATAGCCGTCGGAATGGAATCCTCAATGTCCATCAGGTGGTGGTCATCATCGCGTTTCTTCTTGGCCCCCAACTGAATGGGAGCTGGAACCGGTGGTTCCTGGATTACCATCGCCGCTGCCACCGCCGCCGCCGCCGCCACCACGGGTGCTAGTTTCTGTGGATCTTCCACCGGTACAGGCATGGGTTGCGACGGTGGCTCGGCTTCCGACTGTGAGTCGGTTCTAGTTTCCTCGCAATTGCTGAAACTGTTTCGCGAGTTGTCTTCCTCTTGGACGTCTTGCGATTCGCTGTCATTTGCACTCTCCTGGTTGAAGAACTCGTGCTTCTTCTTACTCCTGCCGGAACGCTTCCGTTTGCGTTCCTCCAGACCGATATGATGCGGGAAATCGTTGGAATCTTTGTTTTCTTTATTCTTGTCGCGATCCCGTTTCACAATGTCCGCTATCGTCGGGATGAAGCGAGGAATGTCGTCCTCGGGGGGAATGTCTTGCTCCATTGGTTCCTCCACTGGTGGAGCTTCCTCCTCAGGTACAGCTGGTTCCTCCACCGGTACTGTTTCCTGACTAGCATGAAGCTCCTCTAGAGCATTCTCGTATTTGTACATATCCGGTTGAGTGGATTCCATCGCTTCCACGTAGATTCCGCCACACTTACCGAGATTCCAATAGCGGCGCCAGTATCGATCCTGACCGAAGCATTTCACCCGTAGTTGATTCAAAGCATTTTCCAGCTGTTGCTTGTTTTGGAAGGACGTTTCCAAGATTCTTTCATACTTTCGCTGCGCTTCCTCGGCCGTCAGTTGAGCATCTTCGTCCTCTTCCAGCTGAGTTCCCTCACTCTCCAGATCGCTATTGTCCTCGTCATTCCGCTCGCTCGGAGCATCGTGGATCATCGATTTGGAGAAAGGATTGTCCATATCGCCACCGCCCGTAGATTGCTGCTGGGACACATTCAAACCGGAAATGTCACTCATTTCGTTGAAACTCATCTCCTTCGGTTTCATTGACGAATCGTCGAGCATCGGAGTAGGAGGTGGTGCTTTAATAGGACTTTCCTCAATTGGAATAATTATTCCGTTGTTGAGTGGTTGTTCTTGGCTGGAGATTATTGGTTCTTCGTCCTTGTGATTCTGCTCCAATTCTGGTATAGGAACAGCAGTGGGAGCTGCTTCAGGGACTGTTGCACCCTCCACAAGCTCCACTTCACCTTCAGTCTTCTCCTCCCCTGGTTGTTGCTGGAGCTGATGTTGCTCAAGTTGCGGTTGCTGCTCAATAGGAATCGCTGGATTACTTTCGACATTCACCGCAACTGCCGCTGCTTCTTCTGCCCTCTTCGCTTCTTCAGCCGCCTTCATCGAAAGAGATTTCTCCAACGCAGCTGCCTGTGCCTTCTCGTACTGCTCCATCCGCTGTTTCCGCGCCACCAGCATCTTGTACTTCCTTATTTTATTATCCAACAAGTAGCGCTCCTTCTTCAACTGTGCTTGCGTTTCCAAACTTCCTTCGATCTGCTTACAAACGGCCTTGTTCATCAGCAAATCGTTGCAGAGCATGGCCAAAATCTGTGCCTTCGTCGCCGGGTTTATAGACACGAAAGGCTTATCCTTTAGCAACTCCGACAGCTTGTATCGGGTGTTCTCCGAGAGCAGTTCATAGAACTGCCTATTCTTATCGCTGGCAGTCTTGATGTCTTCCTCCGTCGGCAAATGATGCCTTTCCCGTTCCCGCTCCAGATTGATTCCACTCTGCTGCCGCACCTCACCGTGTGCCACGGCGTACAGATATATCCGTAAGATCTCCGACACGTTCGAGTGGGTAATATCGGCCTGCCGAAGGGTTTGACCCAGCAGGGTGGTATGCCGTCCGGGATTGGGAATTCCCGGATCTTCAATGGCGCATACCAGAAGGTGCGTCATCACAGAGAGGAGTTCCTCCTCGGCTTCGACGGCGTTGTCGCACGTCAGAGCCGAGTGAAGAGTTTGCAGCGTTGGCAGTGATTCCATTTCTGTAGGGATGAACGGTAAGTGGTTAAAACCTTTGGTCAAAGAAATTAGCAACCAAGTACAATCACCTGTCGATTCGCTAAAACCGAGCGTTTCGCCAAAGTTGTGCAGGAATTCGAATACCATCAGCATATCGGCGAAGCCCTGTCCGGTGAGTTTGAGACCCGGAATCCTGGGCAGCTGGAAGAGCTCTGTCTGATCGCCAATTTCGGAGTCCTCCAGAGGTTTTCTGTATGTTTAGGGAAACCGAGTTACAGCCAGTTTTGATCACACAAAAGTATGTCGAATCTTACCTCAATTCCAGCAGGATACTGGTGTCTCGCTTGCGCATGGCAAGCTTCTTCTCGCGTTGAATCAACTTGTCCAAGATGACCTGGAGACGGACGAGAAAACGATATCAAAGCTAGTACACTAGATGTAATGTATGTTTTGAATCAATTACCTGATGCTTCTTTTTCTCCTTTTCTTCAAACTTCCGCCGCAGCTCCAGTTGCTTGATCAGTGCCATATGTTGCCGCCGGCGTTCACGTTCCTTTGGTTTTGCCAGGGAGAAGCGTAATGAGAGTATGTATTAGAAAGTGTGTGCGTGAGTGTGTGTTTTTTTGTGCGAACTCAAGGACCAACATGATGTGATGTTAGTGAATGGCTTAACTACCTATATAGTCAAACGTTACAGTAATAATAGAAGAAGAAAAAACTCAACATGCAACAAATGTATTTAGCAAACGAAATACACAAATGAAAGTGAATTTGATTAAATGATTCAGTTAAATGTTCAAGGTTTTTTTTTAGTTAATAATTTATGGAGGTACAGTCAACTCTCTCTATCTTGATATCGAAGCAGGTAAGTACAGGATTAATTGAATGAAAAAAATAGATCTAAATAGCCTGGATTTTCATTGAGTTTGAGAGAATTGACTGTTTTGTGTGGTAGGTATTATCGTATAATTTATATTAGTGAAAGCTCATGGAAAATTATGCTTAGGAACCTCAGTGGTTTGTATTTTTCGTTTAATACTATAATATTAGGGCTAGTGGTTTGAAAGAAAGAAAACACAAATCTTAAAGTTTTCGAACCCATTTTCATATGTTGTTTAAACACAAACGTTTTGATATAATAAAAGCTGAATAACACTTTTACAGCTGGATAAACAACTTTTCGTCTGAATAAACTGTTATACAGCGTTCAATGTTCAAATTCCAAAATCTACATTCCAGGGCTGGTAGTGCTGATGCGATATAATAGTAGTGACTTTAGTGATTAAAATTACGGAAACAGTGAGCAAATAGTTACTTGTAAATACTTAATAAGTAACCATTTATATGGCAACTGAGAAATTCAAATACGGTTTGATATTGAAATAAACTTTTTATGTCTTGGAACTTAAAATCACACGAATCTCACAACAGAATTCCCTGTGAAGTGCTTTTGAAGTGATTTGAATAATTTACTTTTGCTTACGTTATACATGATGCCTAGAAAATAGTAATTCCCATTTTTTATGAGCTTGAATTTGAATTTGCGTTCGAAATGTTTAAAATTTTGATATATCTAGGTAGATAACTTTGATAATTCGCTAAGAACATTTCACAGAATTTCTTCAGAATGATCTCAAGAACTTTTTTAGAATAATTTCTCTTCTCATAAACTTAGAGGCAAATAGCTTTTACAAAAATAATATTGCATTCTTGAAATTCATTGAAGAACAATCAACAAAATTTTTGGAAATAGATTATTTTCGTAGTTGCAAATGCTTAACATCAAATATCAGAATTAAAGTGGACATTTTATACAATAGATGAGGAAATGACAGTAAAGAGTTGATAGTTCCGTTATAGTAAGGCAATGTGAAATTAGAAAGCGATAAAGGACAATTCTGAGGAAGGTACGAATCGAGTAGAGCATCTCCTTTACCAAGCTCATCCGTTAATGAGGTGGTGAGGGGTATTTCCCCCTGCCACCACTGGCAAAAGGGATGATCGCCGATTTGCTCATGTACCTCCGATGTGCGGAAACAGTTCTATCGATTGTTTCACGCTCAAGTCGCCATCTGACGTAAACAACTACCCGTTTCGTACCTTCCTCAAAATTGTCCTTGCTCACTTTCTACTTTGTATATACAATGTTCACACTGCCGTACTATAACGGAGCTCAACTCTATAATTTAATGTCGTCATCTATCGTATAAAATCTGCACTTCAAGTCTGATATTTGACGTTAAGCATCACCTACTATGTAAATCGTTAAACTCACGCATGAAGTAATAACACATGATTAGTTAAAGTAGATTATTTTCGATTTTTGATTGATTCTTCTAGGAACTCCCTGAAGGGCTCCTTCCATAAATCTATTTTAAATTTATTTGAATGCTCCTTAGAATTTCCATGCAATAAACCTCAAATTTAATAAATTTCTGCTTAGATTAACCTTATTCATCTAATAAGGTTATTCATTATCCTTAGAATTCCCATAGTATTTCCTCACAATTCTCAAAATAAAAATCCATCACAGAATAACTTTGAAACTCTTCTCAGAATTCCATTGGAATTTTTCTCGGAATTTATTTCGAACTCTTTAAAATTCTCTTGGAAGTATCTTCAGAAATCATCCCAGAATTCTTTTAGAACTATCCTTACAGACCCTCTTTGGAGTTCACGGGATTTTTATGGAATTTTCATCAAAGCTCCCTTGAGCAAAATTTCAGAAATAATTTTAAATTCTTATTAGAATCCTCATCCAATCACCATAGAATTCTTCTCAGAACTCTCGTTAAAATGCACTCTCAATTATATTCGAATTATTTCCAAAATTGTTTCGGAGCTGAATTTTGCGTCTCTAATAATTTAAATAATAATCAAAAGCGACGCTCGTATGTGTTAAGCCAAGTTTAACTATATAGGTAAACCTGGATTAAGATTTAAGCGGAGATGAAGAAATCGTTTCTCAGAGCACTTAATTTTACATTAGACTTTCGTAGTCTGTACTTCTCTGATATATCTTGCTGTCATCCCTAGAATTCTTAAAAATTCTCTTAAAAGTTACTTTGGATTTTTTAAAGTTCTTAATCATCCTTGAAAGACCTTTGAAAATCAATCACATAAATACCTTTGGAAAGTTTCCAGGGTTTACAATTTATTTTCTGGGAATGGAGGTATATTTTCCCCGATTTTTAATCGAAATGGAATTTTCTGGGAAAAGTGGTATATTTTCTCTAATTTTTAATCGAAATTGAAGGCTTTTCGCAATAGTTTTCCTGGTCCTCTAAAAATTTGCGGATCCCTGGTCACCCTGATTAAAATTATCAATTTTTTAAAAGATATGTATATTTTGTTAAAACTATTGCCCTGTCCTAACCTATGACTCGCGAACTTTTCCCTTGGTGAACTTCGTGAAATATCGCGAACTTTTCCAACACTGACTACTGTAGACTTTATTAATGCCAAGTACTCAATTTCAACATTTTGTAGATATTCTTAAATTTCACATTATTTTAGTAGTGAAAAAGTGACTTTAGTGACTATTTTTAAGAAAATAGTGACTTTAGTGACTTTTTGGTGTAAAAAGTGACTTTTTAGTGACTGGTTTTAAAATAGCGACCAAGTTACTAAAAAGTGACCTGCTACCAGCCCTGACATTCACATAACAACTTGTGAATCATTTCCCAGCCAACCAGAAATGTTATAGTATACCATGCACAAATGGAATCGTAAAATACTACAGAAACTAATTTGCCATACAAAAGACAATAATGACCTGATTTTGTCAGTCCCCTTTTGAAAATCTTTTCTAATATTCTACGAAAGCCATGTGCTTTTCCAGTGGTCTTATTACACCAAAGTATACCTTAAACATCCACCTTGAAGATGAATGAGAAAGATTTGTAATTACGATTATGTCAAATCATTGAAAGATAAAAGTCTGATGCACGATGGGGTTGATAAAATCGGGTCATCACTGTATTTAATAAGATGTCCAAACATTGTATACTAGGAAACTTCAAGCAAAAGTATCTCATAGCCTTCCATACACTCAGAAATTATGGTCGTGTCCGGTAATTTTTTTTTTACCGAAATACCAACAGCTGTTTCAACATTTCTAAACACGTTCAACCTTATTCAAATGAACAAATCTTTTAATTGAAGTGAAGATTGCGTTTTATAGAAGCTATTAATCAATTAAATTGAACTGCCTAAATTTCACCGAATAGTTCAGTTGTTGAGATTTCGGTAAAAATCAGCGAAATCGGCGATATTTGTAATTGAACACTCCTTGAACTTTTCATAAATTCTTGAAAGCTTTGTAAGTTTTCCTGAACTTTGTGATTTGCTCTGAGATTTCAAACTCAATGATCTTATCTGAAGCCCTAAAGCGTCTGCGAAATTAAAAAAAAAATACTTCAAGTACTATGAACTTCTATGATGTTCCCTGAATTTCGTGAAAGTTCAAGAATCATTTGAAATTCTATGAAGGTTTCTATGGTTCCATGATTTTGTTTCTTAAGGTCTTTACATGGTAACATCAAAATGGTCAATAATTACTATAAAGTCCTTATTTTCTAGGGAAAATGGGACTACTAGAGTTAAATGAGTAAATTTTTTACCTAATAATGAATAACTGTTAATCACAAAATAAAACTGTTACTCATTTGTGTAGATACAATTACTCATTAATGGGTAAAATCATTTAAAACTGCTTACTTTATAGATTTTTTACAGTTTACTGTCATTTTCTACCGAATTTGGAGCTGTTAAAGATTCGGTAGTCGATTCGGTAATTAATTTAAAGATTTACAATTCGTTTAGTAAATTTTATTTAGCTTTTGGGCAGAGTCTATTGGAAGTCAACGCTAAGATTATCTGAAATTTACTGGAGTTCGCTGAACTGTTTTTTAATGATTTCTAAAACCTCTCAGAACTTCCTTGAAGTACCCTGGTACTCTGATGTTGCCTGAATTTTGTTGAAGGTTGAGAATCCTTTATCGTCTATATGATATCGAAAGCTTGTCTGAAATTTAAGTTTTATTCTGCAAATATCGCCAATACGCCTTTTTAATAGAAACTAAGTGATCGATTCAGCCTCTGGTGGTGAACAAGAGAACTTCAAAAAGAGTGATGTGAGCAGAAATTTCTGCCGTGAGACATTGGAAGCGGAACACTTTTCACTATTCCTGATAAATTGATTCATCTGAGATGCTCCAAAACTTGAACTTAAGTTGAAAAATTTAATTCTGTATCGGTTTTGCAAGGATCCAGCTGGTGTTCAGGAATATTTTTGTTGAGAAAAATGGAAAATTAGAATAATGCCTTAGTGGTTATGATCTTCCGGATTTCTTTTGCGTGAATAGTTGAGGTACAAATCAGTTCAGATCTGTGGAAAATCGTAAAATAAGACAATTACTGATGGTAATTTTCAAGATGTTCAATGAAAAATGCTTTGATTTTCTTTGTGAAAAATCCTTATTCTGATGTAAACAAACGGTTTGGGTGACATTTCCTCTCGAACTCGCATGGCGCACTCTACGCTGGTGGTGC